GGTTTAATGTAGGGGCCTTAAGAGTTTTTGAATAGGGTTTTGGGGCCTGAATAATTAGAATAGGGTTTTGGGGCCCAATCTACTAGAAATTATATGAAGGACCACCCCCCCAACAAAAAAAAAAAAAAATAGTATTGGCAATTATTCAGGCACCTACATTAGGGTTTACAGACTGATCACTGAAGACTTCTTCAGGCTTTGACAAAAGCCCCCACTGCCTTTGGGGTTTGAGGTTGCAGTAGGGTTTTCGACGCCACCGCGACTCGGAACCGCACCCATAAACCCTTATACAGTGCTTCAGGCTGGATGTTGAGGATTGACAATGAGGGTAACTAGTCGGAACCTCAAAGCCTAAACCCTAAACGACAACCGAACCACAACGAACATAATATGCAAGACAGCCCCAGTTGCCTTCCGCACGACGGGCCAAAATATGCAGCTGAGCAGATCGGTGCCCAACGCCTGGTGGTCTTAGTTCACAACATCGTTGTCTGTGTTATGCTGCTCTTGCTTTAAAAGGCCCTAAACCCTAAACCATAAAGCGTGTCTTGAAGGTGCAAAAGCTTTCGTAAAGTTCCGGTGTCGGCCGCGGTGTAGCCTAGTCGGGTGGTCTCTGACAGGCTTGGAGCAGGAAGTTTTTTGAAGTTGTACAAGGGCTAATGTAGGGGCGTTAAGAATTACTAACTACCTATACTATTTGAAGAGTTCCTTATTACTAGTATAGTATAGTATAATATACCCTAATGCGGCCATCAAAGGGGTCACTAGATTTCGGGCTGCTCTTGAAAGGTTTAAAGCTAACCATATTCTCGAGAATGATTGTCGCACGCATGTTCTTGAACCAGTTTGGGCACAGGCTGAAAGATGTGCCTCTTGCAATCAGCTGATCAATTATTGAGCCCCACAATCTTACGCGCAAATTCCCTAAACCAAAAGACTTCCCTGTACAGATTTTGGCCATTGGGGGGTCCTGGTACATTACGGGGACACTGTGCTACAAGCATGTTCATTGCATGGGGTTTGAGACTGAAGATAAGTCGACCAAAAGTGTGGTTTAGGGTTTAGGGTTTAGGGTTAGTTCGGGATGCATGAGTCGTGATACCCGGCCCCACTGCAGGAATGCGAGCGTGTCGAGTAGCTGTCAACATGCACTCCAGACTCACCCGTTGCGGCTGGTTGAACGCTGAACCCTTCCGTTACACGAGGAACGATTAGCACCTGAGTTGTCGCTGGTTTTTCTTAAGTATACGACTATGAAGGTCAACGACAAGGCTGCAACGGTTCAGGTCCCATTTTAGGGTTTAGCGTTTGCGGTTTAGGCCCTATGATTGCAACCTCTAGATACTTACTGTTAACACCAACACTGATGTTACAGAAGGTGTCCGAACATCAGGGGTAGTCCATCGTCTATTGAGTGTTACTCTCAGGATCGCCTCCGAATGATCACCACCACCCTTGTGCCCTGATTCCTACCTATAGTCTCCATTGTAGTTCCTTTTTTTGGTGTAACCATTTTTATATTAAGGGTCCTATAAGGTAACCCCCCAAAAGGAACTACAATGGAGACTCTAGGTAAACCTTGGCCTCATAGAGCTCATCGTATTGGATGGTGGTGGCAGGACGCCCTCCCTGGACAGCGATGTGGATCAGCACCTCCGGTCGGTAGTAGCTTTGAGTTTCTCGAGGTCCAAATAAGGGTCTCCCAACACTAGGGCTATCTCATTCAGGCGTCCTTAACCCTAGACCCTAAACCCTAAGCCTAAACCCTTTATGTTCAGTCTAAACCGTTGGAAATCAAATACCCAAACACGAAAAGCGACCGTTCAATGCTGAAGTTGTACCTCAACCCTACGATCCCGAAGTAATCCTAAATCCCTGCACTCCTCTAAACCCTGAACCCTATAGCCCCTAAACCCTAAACCACTCTCACAGCTGTAAACCCGAAGGATCCTTCAGCTTACGCTAGAGCTAGAATCCAAACAAATACCCCAGAAGCTCGGGCCCGAACCAGAAACCAGCGACCGGAGAAGCCCAATATCGCCGAAATTTGACAAACTAGAATAGGGGTTTGGGCAAGATGGTATAATTCCCATAAGGAGCCTGAGACCTCTTAGTGCTAACATTTTAAGCTTCACTATCAAGTTTAAGGTTTGACGTTCAAGATCCTCCCAACGCCCCAAAACCCGAGCCCAAGCACTCTCAGAGGGCCGGGGCACTGACTCCCTGGTTCTTAGGGTTTAGGGTTTAGGGTTTAGGGTCTGGGGGGGTTAGGTTTAGAATAGTTTAGGTTTTGGCCCTAGCAATCCCTGTAACCCATGCTCCCATTCCCTAATATAAGGGCCTTAATGATTAGAACAGGGTTTTGGGGGCCTTTATAGTATATTAAAATAAGGAACCCCCAAAATAGTGTTGGTAACTCTCTAGGCCCCTGTATTACCAAGATCCAGGGCACTGAATCCAGTGGCTCCCGCCCAAGCGCGTAGCCAAAATCCACATGCACCAGGCGGCCATCCACCTTCGCAGGGACGTCCAGCCTGGGGTTGAATGTAGGGGGCCCTAATAATTAGAATAGGGTTTTGGGGCCCATTATACTGTAAGGTAATAGGGAGCCCTCAAAAATAGTATTGGTAATTATTTAAGCCCCTGCATTAGGGTTTGAGGGTTAAGCTGGGTTCACGGTTTATGCCTCAGGGGATTCAGGGTTAAGGGTGTTCAGTTAGCATTCCTCAAGCAACACTCAAACCCCAAACCTAAAACTGATCCACGAACTCTGCATCGCAAGACATGTTTCCACTGTTTCCACCCTATAACCCCCCGCGCCGTCACCATGAAGTTCTCGTGGTGCCGATCTCCCAGTCCTCACGGCGACTCATGAGCCAACTCAGCCGTGGCAATGATGTCTGGGGCTCCCGTGTGGTACGTGTGAGTCTCCGTTTGAGGTTTATAGGGTTTCCGTAGTAATGATGTCTGGGGGTATCTTACGGTATGTATAGGCTTCGGTTTAGCGTTCAGGGTTCGGCCAGCGGTTTGTGCCTGAGCAGCGTGAGGTTTGTCAAGTAGTCTCTTGTCTTATTACAAACGCACCGAAACCCTATCTCTAAACTCTAACACCCTAAACACCTAAGATCCCAAATCCTAAAGCCCCAGACCCTAAAATCCTAAACCCATAACCCCCCCCCAAACCCTAAACCCTAAACCCTAAACCCTAAAGCCTAAACCCTAACCCTAAACCCTAAACCCTAAACCCCAAACCCTAAACCCTAAACCCAAACCCAGTCCTGCCACGAAGCTCAGCACTGCAGACACTGCGGCAGTAAAGGCCAGTCGGGCCAAAGCCCGTGGGAGGTCCTGTGGGTTTGGGCAAGGGCTTTGTAGGGTTCAGATTTAGGGTTTAGGGTTTATAGGGATGTAGGGATTTAGGATTTAGGGTTTACGGTTAGGGCTGAGGGTTAAGGGATTTAGGGTTTAGGGTTCAGATTTGGGGTTTGGGGTTGGGGTTTGGGGTTTAGGTTTGGGGTTTTCGGGTGGCGTTCAGGGTGTAGGGTTTACCATTCAAGGTTCATGGGTTCATAGAGTTCTATACGGCTTAACACGATACTAAACGGGTGATCTATCGGCGTAAGGGTTTCATGAGGCTTTCAAGGTTGAGGGTGGCAGTTCAGGGCTTGGCACTTTTGGCTCAGGGGATGTATGGCCTCACCCTAAACCCAAATTTTTCTAAACCCACACTCAACACTAAACATCCCTAAACCCTAAGCCCCAATAGGGCTTAGGATACTTAGCCTTTCGGGTGTGCGGGATTTCGGGCTTTGCCTTCAGGATGCAACCTTGTGCCTTGCTGTCTGAAAGCCAAACTCGATACCCACAGCCTGAATACCAAACCCCTTATTTGGTATATTATCGTTTCAATACGGAGCCCAGAGGAAGAATAGTGGTAGTTACTCGGGCTTCAGTATTAATTAAACCCTAAACCCCCAAACCGGACGAGCCTGCTTGTTGTTGTGCTGCCGCAGGAATGTGAGGAGAGTGCCTCGTTCGCCAGGTGAAAAGAGAAGCCTCGTACCTAGGGCAGAGGCGGAGGAGTCCCCGCCAGAGCGCACTTCTCGAAGTGTTCTTGCTCCGTCGATGTACCTGGGGAGCCGTAAAACACAAAGAGCCTCCAAACCAGGGGGAGGTATGCACACGTGCATACACACAGGTACGCAGCAGGAGGGACAAAGGCAGGGAGGGGAGGGAGAGAGCGACAGAGAGCCGGAGAGATGGGCATGCAAGAGACAGGCAGATCCACATGTATAAATGCAGCATGTGCTAGATGCCGCTGGATAAACAGGACAGACATAAGCAAGTAAGTAGTTGGGCAGGTAAGTCAAGTAGGCAGGTATCTGTTCGGCAGGTAAGTAGGTTGGTTCGTAAGTAAGCAAGCGTGTACGGTTAATGATCAAGTAACTAGTTACTTAATGAATTCAGTAAGTAAGTAATGAAGTAAGGGCTGGCTGGGGTGGGTTAGGGGGTGGGTGGGCCAGCGGGCGGGCGGGCGGGCGCGCGCGTGTATGGTTCCTGCTCTTGCTTGTTTGTGCATACGCTTGGACATCGATGCACACATACAAGACATAATGAACATCTTTACACCAACTTTTAGCAGGCTGGATGCTCAAGCATAGCAGTGCCATGCCCTGTCATGACGATGGTGTAGGTGGCCCGCACGTCTTCGAAGACAAGGCCGCTCTTTCGGAGCAAAACATGGAGCTCTGGATCCTCCCAAATCAAAGTCTCCAGCAGTCGCAGTGTCTGGCCTACTTGCTGCTCCCGGTGCATACCAACATCCCGCTTCAGGAGCACGCCAGAGGACTTCCGGCGTTCCGAGACCTCCTTGCTGGAGGGTCGGATCGAGGAGGCTGCAGAAGGTCGAGGGCCACGGGCCGGGCTCGGGGCAGGGCTGGAACTGCTCACAGCCTCGTCGTGAAACCGGCACCGAACCACGATCGGAGCCGATTTGCTATCGGTTTTCTTGGGCAAACCCTCCATGCCCAGGCAGGATCGGTACGGCGGCCAGACTGCCAGCGGGAACTTGCGCGAATCTCCCCAAGGCTCTACTCTGCAGCTCTCGTAGTTCCCCCGCTCCATATCTCCTGGGCTTTGAAGTAACCAGGGAGAAAAAAGTAGAGACTTTTACTTTATAATGGTTCCTTTAAGGAACAGGTCCCAAAAAAAAGTAGTAAAGTATGGTACTCCAAAGCCCAGTCTCGGACCCAGGAGTGCTGCCTCAAGAGCCCCAGCTCCCTTTCAGTGGGAATGTCTCGCCTCTCTTCTTCAACAACCAGGCCCAAAAAAGTTCAAACTTTTTAGGATAGACCCTTATATATAAAGCCAAAAAGTTTAAAGTTCTCCCATTGGCTATCTAAGTCGCAGGAGCTCTTGCAAAGCAACACCGGCCCAGTGCTCTTCCGCCTGGCCAGCTCGAGCTTTCAACGCCCAGAAGAGCTCCTTAGTTGTTTAGGGTTTAGTTGTTTAGGGTTTAGGGTTTAGGGTTTAGGGTTTAGGGTTTAGGGTCTAGGGTCTCATAAGCTCCACCTTAAAGCGCACACTTACAGTTCCTATACCTGCAAAATAATACGCCAAAGTGTAACGTGTACACTTTCGGTATCTTTAGCTTTATAGTGGCTACTTTTACCACCAAAAAAATGTCAAGTGTACCCAAACCCTACACCCTAAACCCTAAACCCTAAACCACCCACTCAGCGACTAGGGCTCGTTGCAAAGACCGGCGGCCGCAGGCGTCTTGCCACGGGCCATCTCAAGCAGTGCCTGGCTTGCTGTGAAGGAACTCTAGTCCGAGCCATAATAATGAATTTATATCCCCATCATGGTAACTCCAACCTTAAGCCCTCACCCCTTACAGGAACCCTTAGTAGATCCCCATTATGGATTTGTCAAGTAATTTCCTTGACTAACCTTATTTCCCCAATAAGCCAGGGAAAAAAAGTCCAAACTTTCAGATTACTACTAAGTTATGAGAACTCAAAAGTGCAAAAGTTGGGTATTGGAGAAGTAAGTAACTGACAGCAATGCTGTTAGTTACTTACCCAGTTCTCCAGTACCCAACCCTCAAAGTAATGTAGGGGCCTTGACAAACAGAATAGGGTTTTTGGGGGGCTCGTTATTCTAATTATAGTATACTATACCCCAAACCCTATTGTAATTATAAAGGGCCCTATAGGTCCTAAACCCTAAACCCTTATGCATAGTAGCCCTTTAAGGAACCCTTTAAAGAGCCTAAACCCTTATGTATAGTAGCCCTTTAAGGAACACTTTAAAGAGCCTAAACCCTTATGTATAGTAGCCATTCAAGGAACCCGTTAAAGAGCCTAAACCCTTATGTATAGTAGCCCTTTAAGGAACCCTTTAAAGAGCCTAATCCCTTATGTATAGTAGCCCTTTAAGGAATCCTTTAAAGAGCCTAAACCCTAAACCCTAAACCCTAAACCCCTAAACCCTAAACCCTAAACTTCAGGAATCCTTTAAAGAGCAGCCCAGGTGCACCGAAGATGGCCCGGCGGCCCCCCGTCCCAGCAGAGCCGAGCTCGTGGCCCGCGTCCAGCAAAAGCTCCAGGCAGCAGCACAGCTCTGAGCAGCTAAGCTCCTCTTAAGGTTTCGGGTTCGGGGTTTCGGGGTTTCGGGTTTAGGGTTTCGGGTTTAAGGTTTCGGGCTTAGGGTTTCGGGTTTAGGGTTTCGGGTTTCGGGTTTAGGGTTTCGGGTATGGGGTTTCGGGTTTAGGGCTTAGGGTTTCGGGTTTAGGGTTTCGGGTTTAGGGTTTCGGGTTTAGGGGTCTAGGGTTTAGGTTTTAGGTTTCAGGGTTTCGGGTATGGGGCTTCGGGTATGGAGTTTAGGGTTTCGGGTTTAG